AGCAGAGTCTAAAATCCGGCCGAAATTCGAGCAGACGAATCGGCATCAAATGGGACATGACTTTCCAGTTCGAAGGAAAAGTTGGTCGGAAAGAATTGGTAAAATGGTTGCATCGGAAAGTGAGCATGACAGACATCAGCGGAGCAAGAATGCATACTTTAGGAAATTGAGCAAAAATATACCAAAATCCCATGATTTGGTTAGCAACCTCTTGCTTACTCGACATGCTGGCAGATGGGTAGAGTCAATTCACGAACCAGAGTTGGATTCGATTGGAGCTCGTTTATGGAAGAAATAAACAAACTTGTTTATTTGGTATTTGCAATGGTCTATTGTGTGTCTGTGGTGTTCATGTTATGGCAGCTGTTGTCGCCCTAACCGGACTCGAAGTAGGCCCAGCCTCATTTTTTTTCTGCTCATTGACTCTTTCTGCCCATTCTCTTTCTCTCTCTCTCTCTCTCACTGAAGATCGCTTCAAAAGCAAGTTTTTATTTGTGTCTTCCAGATTGCACAAACAGACACAACACATTTTTGCTTTGTAAGTGGGCATTCGAGACTACCAGTTGACGCTATTTCGTCCAAGGTGACAATGGGACTGGTAGTTGAAGGAGGGTTATGTGAAATTGATAGGAAAAGTCAGGTCTGCCCATCTACGAACGAAAGAGACCAAGTGAAGATAGGTTGTTGGTGTGGTTGTACGAAAAGAGGAGCTCGGACAATGTGCGTCCAATTGAGTCGCCTTGGAGACAAGAGCAAGTTGCGAAGACGAGGTCAATCCAGGTGTTTGCATGGAAAAAGGGTGAATTGATGTTATGGACACAACTCACCGATTTATGCCAAACCTGGTTAAACCTTGGTTACTACTCAAAATAAAATTTACTCAAAGACTATTCAAAGGTCAATCTGACCCACTCTTAAAAATAATTTTTATTTTGTTTATAACAAAATATATATATATACATAAAACATACTGTTTATTGAAAAATGCATATTTAGCTTTAATTGATTCACAATTACTTGTTGTCTACACAGTTTGGACATACAATAATTGAGCATGTGTTGCAAACAAACACTGTTAGTTGTCCGATCTTTTTTTTGAGGACAAATGCTGCAACGCTTCCTTTCAGATGCAACATCAGCAACAACTGGAACAGGTCTTTCAGACAGAGGCACTTTGAACACCCTCGATGTTATCACATGCAATTGTCGGGCTATCTTTTCATTATGAATTCGCTGACGAGCATAAGGTAGACCGCCGTCGAGTAGCCCTAGCAACAGAGAAGTTGGCGTCATTATGCTGGAGATGAGAACCACAGCTTTGGACACTTTAGGAACATATGATGCCATTGTTATTTTAGATGTACAGCCAAACAAACATGATTCAACATCCCTTCTTTTATGTGGCAAAAATTCTCTTGGGATCTCTCTCTTATTTGACTTCACAGTCCCCACATATGTTAGTTTTCGTGACCACAGCTCTTCTCAATGGACGAGAACCAATTGTCACCAGTAATATTTCGATTAGAACCCTCAACTGGAGATATCAAGCTTTCCATTTTTGGGTTTAGGTTGGTTCGTTGTTTTGCCACAATAAACTTGTGCATTTACCATGTGATGGGTTTTTTGCATCAGTCAACGTCACTATCTTCACACCGTATCTCTGATTATAATAATTGTTTTGAGCTGTAGATTGAAACATATAATTTTTACCTACCGACGTCGTTGCTATCGAAGGGTCAATGTGACCCTGTCACCACTGTTATGCCACGAAATAGTGAGAATGCACAGGCATGTGAGCAGGGTTGTCTAAAAGTTATTTTGCGAAAATTCTGTTTTAAACGGTTCCATGGTTACGTAGACGCATGAGTACATAAACCGAGTATTAAACACACACAAATGCTGCACACCTCCGACCCCTCTTCGCTCTGTAGATGGGCGTCTGGCGCGCGACTTCTCCTTCGTCAGCCACCTGCGCATGACCAACTCGGGCCGGTCGGAGAGAGGAGCGGCCGAGGCCCAACCGCTCGTGGTGCTGACCAAAGCCTCGGGCGAGGTCGAGTTGGCCGTCAAGTTGAGCGCCGGCACAGGCCTCAGCCTCGAGTACTGGACCGGCAAACGCCTCCTCGAACTCGACTTCCCCGAGACCGTGGAGCCTCTGGACGACAAGAAGTAGGTCCTCCCGTCTTCCATTTCCACGCGCCACGGCCTCGCATTCTGACCTTTTTGCCCACTTTTTTCACTTTTTCTCCCGACCCCCTACCACCGGGCAGATGGCACTTTCTCGGCCTCAGCATCAAAGGCGATCAGGCCACGGTACTCGTCGACTGCAGGCCGCTCGCCTCGAGGACTCTCGACCGGGCCGCCGATCATTCGCTCAGTCCCGGAGAGTCGGGACGCATTCTCGCCCTTCGCGACAACCACGGATTGATCGGCTTTCACGAGGTGAGATCGCCAATCCTCACAAAAGTGCTCTTCATCCCTTGCAGCACTACTCGTAGCGGTGCAAGCAGTAGTTACAGTAGTGACTAGAGGAAGATTAAAAATTTTACACCACTATTTAATGTGGCCTTGGTGACTAGCAATGTAAAAAGACACTCAATACTACTTATAAATGGGATAGTAGTATAAATTTATTTTGCAAATGGCTAAAAGAGCCTAAATATTATTAAATGACTGGACTCATCTTGGCTCGTTTCGGCGGATGGAAGTCTTCATCCTGTTTCTATTTCCGAGTTCTCCTAAATTAATAAAACTGCAAACAAAATGGTCGCAACTACTGACAGCAGTAATAGTAGTATAAATGATTGACAAAAATGATACTCGCTTTATTCTGTGTCGGAGGTCCGACTAAAAGGGTCCTCGAATTCGACTGCTGGCGTTTGTCTCCAAGTCGGCCTTCGGCCTATTTTCTTAAGACCAAAAAATGCCGGATTCTCTTCACAGAAGTGGAGTCGATCGCTCGACAGGAATATGATCCTTCCTTTCAGGACTTGAACTTTTCTCTTCTTTCGGTGACTCTGATCATTTTGTCTGTGAATTGTCGTCGAGCCAGTTTAGCCCTCCTCCATGAGGGCCATTAGCAACCTCCCTCGACAACGACAACAACAATAAGAAGGAGGAAGAAGAAGGTGACAATGACAACGGCGAATGAGAAGATGATGATGGCAAAGACAAACCCCCCAGCACCAATTAAAATGAAGACAACAACAACGAAGACGAATCCAACGACAATGCTACTAATGACGACATTCTGGTTGGAGAATCTAACCTTTCCGGCCCTTTTCACCGACACCTTTGCAGCATCTTCAGCAGGCTCCAGGAGGTCTTCGCGTGATTTCAGCCGATACCCCCATCTGTACATGTCTTCTAGCAACACCGGTCAGAGTATATGAAGCAGTTTCTAGGTCTGGACGTCCAGTACAGGTTATGTAGAAGAATAAGTTGTGTTCACAATTTGAATCGCCATTTTAAAAATTATTTTGTCTGCTCCCTCTTGCTCCAACAAAACAGGGCATCGTGGAGCAACTGATGCTACTGCCCGACCCCGCAGCCGCCTACACTGCTTGCGAGTCTCTTCTCGTCGTCTGTGACAACGCCACTGCGTCTTCGTCGGCCGTCGACGAGGTGATGATGGGACAAGAGGCTGATTTACCTGAGGTAGGTAGAAATATACGATTACACTAGCCTCACTGACTACTGACTACTGACTAAGTAGTAAGTAGTATGTTATATTTTTTTAAATGTTTTTAAAAAATAATTATTTGACTGTCTTTATGTGTTTTAAAGGTCGGCGTGACTCGCCGATTC